ACCCCAACAAACAGCTCAGAGAATGGGCGGGGCTTCTGTCGGGTGTGTCTTGGCTAGTGCCTTAGTCGCGCGCTCCTCCAAAGTATCGAACGCAGTTGGCCCTTGAGGCAGAAAAAAAAAAATACAAGAGCGGCAACCAATAGCATGGCAGAAAGGACCCGCGCGCAGGCCCGACTCCGCCCCCCTGTGCTAGAAAGAAGTTCAGGCCCGACGATTGGCTTGTGCGACATGTCAGTCGCCGCTGCGGCCAGCGGGCAGAGGCCTCGCGATGATTGGTTCCGCCCAGGCGCGAAATGTAACGCGGGAAAAGCCGGGGCTGGGACCGCGGCGGCAGGTTGTTATTTTCGGGGGCTCAGCGCAGCACGTCCTGCTTTCCTGTCACCGCAAGGGCCAGGCCGCCGGCTGTTTTCCATTGCTGCAGCCTGCGTTAGGAAATACAAAGAGCGGGGGCGGTCTTGACCGGGGGCTGGGGTCCAGCCTTGCTCGGTCGGTGACGGCCGAGTCGCTCAGCTGAACTCCTTTGGTGCCCGTTGCGCAGGATTCCGAGAAACGTCCGGCAGCCATGAGCCGGCGGGACTAAAAGCCGGCGACTCCGAGGAGCGTAGGCAAGCGGAGCAAGAAGCCAGACCCAGAGTCGGGGAGTAAGGCCCCGGGGCCGCCGAAGCTGCGGATCAGGACTGGACGATGATCCGGGGCGTGGAGTCTGCGATGGCGGACAACTCGTCGCAGCCGCCGCCTGTCATCTTCTGCCACGACTCCCCGAAGCGAGTGCTAGTGTCAGTCATCAGGACGACCCCAATCAAGCCCACGTGCGGTAGCAGAGGGGAGCCGGAGCCACCACCGCCGCTAATCCCCACCAGCCCCGGCTTCAGCGACTTCATGGTGTACCCGTGGCGCTGGGGCGAGAACGCGCACAACGTGACTCTCAGCCCCGGGGCTTCGGCGGGCGCCGCCACGGCCACCTCACCGGCCGTCACCGCCGAGCACCCGGGGCTTCGGGGCCGGGGCGCGCCCCCACCTGTCGCCTCGGGGGGTGAGGACGAGGAGGAAGCGAGCAGTCCTGACAGCGGCCACCTCAAGGTGACCGGCGCGGGCGGGCGGGGCGCAGCGCGGGGCAGCCGAAGGCCCGTTAACGGCGCGGCCCGGGAGCTGGCGGTGCCTCCGACGCGGCAGGCGGGCGGGGCGGGGCCAAGTTTAAAACGCGAGGTCGCTCTGGCTGCTGGGAGGGGCGGTGGCGACTGACAGAACGGTGACGTCACTGTCGCGCGCCAAAAAGGCCCCCCCGAGGGGCGGGGGCGGGGTGTTGGCCACGTGACCCCCCCCCATGCTGTGGCTAGCGGTAGAGACCTTAGGCGTCCGCCCAGCAGGTGTAGTGGATGGGAGCTCAACCAGGGGACGTAGAGGAGACCGGATCAACGGCCACTGCAAGCCGTTGGGCAGACCGCTGAGCCCTCTCTGACCAGAGGGAGGAAGTTACGGACCTTGAGCAGTTTCACTAGGTGCAGGAAAGGGAGGGTGGTGCCCAATTTTTGTTCCATCACTACACATTTCTGCCGGCCCTGCCCCAACGAACATGCTCTGCAGAGAGAGCTGAGGAGCAAAAAGGGTCTTCGGGGATTTTTTTGCCAGTGCAAGTTCGGCTCTCTTTGCTTTTCATTCATAAGCATACTATTTGTTAGGTGCTGAGAGCACACAGTGGAACGGGTCGTTTTCGTCAGTAACCTCCAATTGTTCGCAGTCTCAGACTGTTTAGAGCTGTTGGAAAGGATGTGGTCACTTGGTTCAGACCTACATTTTACAGATCAGGCAACTGAGGCTTAGAGGTATTGGTGAAGGGACTTCATCGAGGTCACATAGCTAGGTAGTGAGAGAGCTGCGACTATGGTCGGAGTTTTTGTGGCTTCTAGTAGCTCTGTAAAGGAGCTCTGATGGCATAATGATTAAGCGCTCTGCCCCTAGCCAGCGACTTTGCAGGAGAAAGATGTGGCGATCAATTAAATGCTCCGATTACAACCTAGAAAACCCTACGAGGCAGTTCTCTGTCACACAGGGTCTCTATGAGTCGAAAAATAAACTGGACAGGACCTAACTAGGGTACAGCTGTATGTTTTTGAATTGCTTCTCTGATGACATAACTTAGCTCCATTGATTCTAAGCTCCAGGAAGTCCAGGACCATTTTTATTTTGTAGTAGACTATTCAACTTTAATGCATTACACTTTGTAAAGGCAAAGTGCTCAGTAATACTTGTGGAATGAATGAATGGTGTTAATGTAAGGTTACTATCCAATTCAGCACTCCGCTGCTAACCCAAAGGTCAGCGATTTGAACCTACCAACTACTCTGTGGGAGACAGATGTGGCAGTCTGCTCATGTAAAGATTTACAGCCTTGGAAACCCTATGGGCAGTTCTCCTCTTATCTCTAGCGTCCCTATGAGTTGGAATTGAGTCCGTGGCAGTGGGTTTGTTGTTTTTGTTTATCTAGATTCCATTTGTGAAGTGGCCAGATAAGATTAGACAGTTTAGAAAAGATGTAACATGTAAGTCACCTAGTGTAAAGTGCATTTATATTGGCAAATACTGTATCAAATGAAACAAGTTTAGACCATCATTTTACTTGTAGCAAAGATGTTGAAACTGTTGTTTGGACTCTGAGGAAGTTAATACACTTCGTTACTATTGGCATTGTTATTAAAGAACTATAAAATTTAAAAAACCTGTATGCTTTGACATACTTCAACACTTGAAACAGCATGTCAGTAAAAAAATTAAAAGAACAGGCAGAAGTATTTTTAATAGTGCTAAGTGAAGGGAACAATTGCTGTTAGCTGGATCTAGGGTAGCCCCTATTAGGTGGATGGGTAGCCTAGATATTTTTCTGTGCTAACAAGAATGGCCAGAGAATGGCCAGACTTCATCTCAACCTACTTTGGTCTTGTTAGAAGGGACCATTCTCTGGAGAAGGATGTCATGCTTGGTAAAGTGGAGGGTCAACGAAAAGGGCAAGTCCCTCAACAAGATGGATTGACACAGTGGCTGCAACAATGAGCTCAAGTATAGCAAGGATAGTGAGGCTGGCACAGGACCAGGCAGTGTTTCATTCTGTTGTACATAGGTCACTGTGAGTCAGAGATGACTCAATGGCACATAACAACAACATCCTTGCCTGTTTTTTCATCCTTTTTTTCTTTTGATGAAATGCATTATATTACATAGTTGAGCAAACATGCACAAGTGCTTGTGGAATATTTTGTATTTATGATTTGATTTTTAATCATAGCACTGTAATTTTGCATTGTCCAAGAAGACTAATGTTAGCACGTTGTTGTCAGGTGCTGTTGAGTTGATTTAGACTCAATAGCTATCTCACGTGAAAGAGCAGAGCTACCCCTGAGGGTTTTCTGGGCTGTAAACTTTACTGAAGCAGATTGCCAGGTCTTTCTTCTGCAGAGTGACTGGGTAGATTCAAATCACCAAAGAAGTCTATAGGTATTTTCTTTTTGACCTAAAAAAAAGACTTCATATAAATCTTTTATAAAAGTTGCTAGCACAATGCATAGGTTTGGATTTTATTTTCATTTTGTCCATACCTCTTCCGAGGTAAAATATACCAGAAATTGTGAAGTATATGTAAAAGCAAAAAGGCTGTTTTTTCTTTCTTTCTCTCCTTCCCACAATCTTTCTTATGGTAGTAGCTTTATAAATTTGATGAATTGTCTTTAGTTTGTTCTTTTATAGAAAAAGCAATCCAAATACAGCTGCAAAAATTCATTCATTTCATTTTTCCACCTTTTTAAGGGGGAAGGCCTGGAATATACTTTTGTTTAAGGAAGTTACCTAGTTTGATTTGTGGTCCGTACAGTGGATAAAAGGCAGAGACTCCCAGCCTCTTTGACTTTGTTCTGTGTTTCTAAAGTACATGTAGTTCTTTATTTTCACCTACATCATGGGTGAATCATACTCATTGAGTTAGGTCACTTTTTGGGAAGATGGGGACAAGTTTGTAGTATTACCAGTGCCTCTGTCTCTAGGGTCCCTATGTTGGAATCGAGTCAATGGCAGTGGGCTTGGTATTTTCATTTATCCAGATTCCATTTATGAAGTGGACAGATAAGATTAGAAGTTTAGAAAAGATGTAACATGTAAGTCACCTGGTATTAAGTGCATTTATATTGGCAAATACTGTATTTATCAAATGAAACAAGTTTAGACCATCATTTTACTTGTAGCAAAGATGTTGAAACTGTTGTTTGGACTCTGAGGAAATTGATATACTTCATTACTATTGGCATTGTTATTAAAGAACTATAAAATTTAAAAACCTGTATGCTTTGACATACTTCAGCACTTCAAACAGCATGTCAGTAAAAAATTAAAAGAACAAGCAGAAGTATTTGTAATAGTGCTGAGTGAAGGGAACAATTGCTGTTAGCTCTTTCTCTCAATGTGTTTCTTACATTTATGTTTGTTTACTATTTGTTGCCACTGCTCACAGGGGAGCTATTAACATCTGTGTCCTGCATACTCATTGTCAGCTTTCTCTTGCTTTCTTGTTTGTTTCTATCCAATGCTGTCTCCCCTACCTTTGGGGAGACTATCCATCATTTACCAAATGATTTTGGCCCCTCAATCACAAGACTTTTGAGGTATACTTACTAACATTATCTTCTCTTTAATTGTATATTTTTTTTTCTTGGAGGGTGGGGAGGGAGCTGGTCTAACTTTCTTCTGTTATAGGATATTCTAAGCCTCCCCACCTTGAACGCTTGTGCCCTCCCCTGCTTTCCTGAGGTGACTTCTCCACTGTAGGCCCATGTTGTCTGGTATCTCTGCAGAGCCTCAGACACCATTTACCCATCTGGACCAGCCAGCTGCATATCCTGCTCCCCCTTTCTAGTGGCTGAACACTTCAAACATAGTAACTTGGTCACCACCATGTGCTAACATAGTAACCACTACTTACTGCCTGGCACTTAGTAATGTTGGCAGCATGGTGTCAGGCTCTTTTGTTGAGTGTTTTGAATTCTCTAATTCATTTAATCCTTTTTTTCCTGATGAGGAAGGAGGGATCAAAGAGGCCCCAAGATTAAACTAAGATCGTATGGGAAGTTATAAAACTGACTGGAACCTTCCAGGGTCCTTGTTTTCAATCCCTATGCCATATTGCTCTTGTATATAGCATCTGTGAATTGACTTTAGGGGTTTGTTCAAAGTCTGAGATTCTGTTTTTAAAAATTTAAAGAATGGAAAACTTTTTGGGAAACTGAACTCATTTGCTTATTTTATAGCAGTTGTTATAGGATATTTTAGAATTTCATGTTAACATTGCTTTTTCTTATGAATCATTAAGCTGTCTTTACAAGGTTTGTCCCTAAGCTACAGATTCACTTGTTTGCCAATGAGTTAACACTCTATAATTGTCAAGATGCACCAAGAACCATGGTTTTCTTTCTTTTGTTTTTTCTGTTAAGGCCAAAAGGAAAAGATGCTCTTTATTCATTTATTTAGGTCATTAGATGATTACTTGTCTTGTCTTATTTTCTCAGTTGAAAGAATATGCTTAGTGAAGCCTTACCTATATATGGCCAGGATTTTGTAATTTATTTATTTGTCAGCTCTCCATTTCTTATTTGTAAAATGTAAATGTGTTGTTTGTAGCTGAAATAAGATCCTTCTTAGAGTTGCTGAGAGGCAGGCAAATGGTTAACTTTTTATGTCTCTCTCACTATTTGACATGCTTGTTAATATTTTTGTTTTAGAAGCACAGAGAAAATAATAATGGATAGTCTTAAAATTTTAATATTAATTAATCAGTTATTTCAAGTTTCCATAGAAGCAATACTATTTTTTAATATGTTTAAGAATATTAGGAAAAGCATCCTTTCGTGGGAAAGGACATGTTCCACCAGATTTTTAATTAACATGATTTCATGTTCCATTTCTTCTTTTTTTTTCAAAATTTTATTTTGGGTTAAAGTATGCACAATAAAACTTGCTCCCCTTTCATAGTTCTAGACATAATGATCAGTGACGTTGGTTAAGTTCTTCACGTTGTGTCAACATTCTCCTTATTTCTGTTCTAGTTGTTTCACTTCCATTTATATAATCTCCCTGTCCCACAGACTTCTCATCTGTGCTTTGAAACAGCTGTTGACCCTTTAGTTTTAGATTTTTTTTTTTTTAAGCAACAGAGTACTCAAGGGTGACAATCTTTACTCTGGGCTAAACTGTTACTTAGGCCATAGTCTTGTGGACTCCTCCAGACTCAATAGGTCCAGTAAGTCTGGATTCTTTAAGAATTTGAAGTTCTGTTCCACATTTTTCTCATTTTTTTATCAGAATTTCTCTATTCTATTCCTGATCAGAACATTTAGTAGTAGTAGTGTTTTCATTGACTGCGGATGTCATATTATCTGTTTATTTGTGTTTTAAAACAATTACTCAAGATACAAAACCATAACCAACAACAACCTATACAATTATTGTCTCTTAAATAATAGCAATTAGTTCTCTAGTTTTACTCCTGCTTAGCTCCCTGTTTACTGACTTTGGGTTAATAATTTTAGCAAGCAAACTCAGAGCTAACTGGCTAGTGAGTATCATAGCCAAGGAGGAAGGAAAGTGAAAAAATTTGATCATCACCATTTACTGCCACAAGTTGATTTGCTAATTTGGGTTTAAACAATAAGTCTCTCAAAGTTGTTAGGATTTTATTGATTTCTAGCTTCACTGTTAATGGAAACTTCTTTAGAAGTTAAATAAATCTGGAAAAAAGTACCTTTTTCTGGAGTCTCAGTATCAATAAAGAATTAATGAGATCTTTATTCTTTCAAAAGATATTTATTAATATCAAAAATCAAAATCAAACTCACTGCCATTGAGTGGATTCCAACTCATAGTGACCCCCCCCCCCCCCCCCCCCCCCCCCCCCCCGTTGGATTTCTGAGGAGGTAAATCTTTGCGGAAGGAGATTGTCCCATCTTCCTTCCATGGAGCAGCTGTGGTGGGTTTGAACTGCCAACCTTTGGATTTGCAGTCAAATACCTTAGGCACTGTGCCACCAGAGCTCCTTATTTATTAATAAGGTGTCTGAATTAGTTACTACAGGAAAAAATGGACTGCAGAATGCAACTTCAGAATTTCAGTGGCTCGTAAAAACTTTACATATCTTGGGAGGGTTGATTGCAGGTATGCTGTGTCCTTTATAAGACCTAGACTAAAGAAACATTCCCTCTCTGGGACTAAAGGCAGAGTCTCAAGGCAGAGAGAAAAGTGAGAAGATGGAATCATGTGATGGATCAAAGCTTTGCTTAGCAATTTTATACATCACTTCTTTCTACTCACATTTATACATCACTTCTTTCTACTCACATTTACTGGCTAAAGCTAGTCATGTCGCCTAGTCTCACTGGGACCCATAGAGAGGAAGGGGCAGTGAATATTTCTATTATGATATAATCTGCCGCAGTGCCTTCCCACATGCTTAATTTAAAAAAAAAAAGAAAAAAAATGTTAATATTTGCAAGATAACGGTGAGGAGACTTTATACTCCAAACATAAGATATACTTCTTCAAATATTAATAATCTTTAGGTTTTCCTATTTAATACATTACTGGTACCTAAAAACTAAATGAAAAAAAAGACTTCATTAAGTCTTGAAAGCTTAATGATAAAATTATCATTAAGACTGTAGGCTTTTAGGATAAAATTGGTAAATAAGTAAGTATACAACTAATACGACTTCACAATACAGGATTGACATCAGGTCATTAACTTGGACTAGCCACTCCTTGGAAGGAAGGTTGGGCAATCCTACTTCCGTAGTGATACTGCCTCCGAAACCCAAGGAGGGGTCGCTATGAGTCAGGGCTGACTTGATGGCACATAACAACAACAACAGAACTAGATTTCAATATCTATGACTTTTAGAAACATTTTATCCTGTGAGATAATTTATGGGGTGTAGGGATTACGCTTTTCTTTCAAAGTGAAGATGTGAATGGAATTTAAGTTTTCTGAAGGATTTAAGCTTTCAGAAAAATGTAAGTCTTTCTATTGAAATTGAGTAGGTGCTCCTCGTCCTCTGATATGTAGGTGTTGGTCCTGCCTTCTGGAACTGAGGAAGCAGTAGCCCCACCTCCCTAGACCCATGGTAGCGGTCCTGCTGGCCTCTGAACAGCTTCTAGGATCATCTTTTCCTTTTCTTGAAGGATAACATGTTTACATCCAAGTAGTTCCATCAGGCTGTTTCCTGCCTGTAGAATTACAGGAACTGGACGATTTTCCTTCATATTGCCCCATCTCTGCTCCCTTAGTCTATGCTGGCAATATTTCTACTGAGGTGATTTTTTTAGATCCTTAATCTACATGCCTGATCTCTTTAGAAAATGGCTGTCTAGTCACACCCTTGTTCTTCTCAGAGCACGTTTATACAGCATGGATAGGCTGAGTTTTTCTGTATCTTCCAAGTTCTGGCTCCTTTTTGCTTAATAATTCAATCCTCAGTTTATCTCTTTCCTCTTGCATTTTATTAGAAGCAGCAGACTACCCCTTCAAGAATTTACTTAGAAGTTAACTTTGTTAAATATCTATCACTTACAAGTTCTATTTTCCACAAACCACTCAAACATAATTCAGCCAAAATCTTTGCAACCTTATAACAAGGATCACGTTCCTTCCAGTGTTTAATAACATGATCATCATTTCCTTTTAAGGCCTCCCCAGAAGCACATTTAATACCCATATTTCTAGCAACATTCTATTCATCATAATATAAGCTTTCCTTCTTTCTGAGCTCTCAGCAGAATCACCTTTAATGTCCATTCTTCTACTAACATTCACTTCAAAGCAATCTAGGCTTTTACTATCAAGCACCTCAGAACTCTTCCCGTCTCTACTCATTACCTAATTACAAAGTCATATTTTAGGTATCAGTTACAACAGCACCTCACTTCCTGGTCCATACTCTGTCTTAGTTTGCTAGGGCTGTTGTAGCACAATAACACAAAGTAAATGCTTTAAAGAATAGAAATTTATCATCTCACTGTTCTGAAGGCTGTGAGTCTGAATTCAGAGTGTTGGCAGGGCTATGCTTTCTCTGTCTGCTTTAGGGGAAGATCCTGCCTTGTCTCTTCCGGTTTCTAGTAGCCTGGGGAAATTCTCAGCATTCCATGGCATTTAGTTTTATTATCTTCACGTGGCATCTGTCTTCCCCTGGTGTCACTCTGAGGCTGATTTCCCCTTTTGTAAATCACAACTTACATGGTATCAGGATGCACTGTACTCTAGTATGACTTGTTGACTGATAACATCTTCAAAGAAAGACCTTACTTCTAAACAATGTCATAATCATAGATAGAGCTCAGCCAGGCAGGCCATTTACCACTGTAAGTTGCCTTTTGCTTCTTGCTTGCGCTGAGCATGTAGATCAGCCAGAGATGAATATTTAGATTTTTCTCGAATATTTAGATTTTTCTCAAGTGTTTTCTGTGTGTGGCTTTCTACAGTCTCTGGTATAGGCTAGTACTTTTCAGTGCCCCAATTTTTCAGAGAAATTCTCTCCCCAGCTTTTCCTCTCAGGCTTTCAGCATGTCTAATGTTTGCCTCAGATCTTTCGTGCCAGGTGGAAGCAGATTGTTCATTTGCCTTAGGAAGTTTTGGAGGAATGTTCTATGTGTCTAGGTGGTTTTCCACCCTGCGAAATTTCCAAGTTAGGGCTACACAAAGACCAAGTATATTATTGTCTTAGACTTTCATGCAGCATCCATACAGACCAAAATAGACAAACACGTTTTTTTCAGAATAAGATCTGCTCTGTTCCCTTTGCATCCAGAGACCAGGGCCCTCACTGGGTACATGGGTTGTTCTCTTAAAGTGGGGAGCTGGAGTGGGGAGCAGGACAAAGGGAAGTAAAAGTGCTGCAAAACTTGCCTAACCATTTTTCAGTTACCGTCTTTGGTTGCTGTGTATCACTGGTGATTTTTCAGAGTCCTGACAAAGTTGATTCTGACAATTTTTACTCCATTTTTGGGTGGCTCTGTAGGTCCTTAGAGCTACCTTCTCTGCCATTTTTGCTGAGGTCACTCAAGAAATATTTTTTAAAATTATCATTATTTTTAAATGACATCTTGCTTTAATGAGTGGAGGGCAAAACATTATATTAATGTTTATAAACATTGTTAACAGGATGGAATCCGACGTGGTAGACCCAGAGCAGATACTGTTCGGGATTTAATAAATGAAGGAGAACATTCGTCTAGCAGAATCCGCTGTAACATCTGTAATAGGGTGTTTCCACGTGAGAAATCACTCCAGGCCCACAAAAGAACTCATACAGGTAAGTTGAACAAATTTGAGCGAAGGCCAGAGGCAACATCTTACTAAAAACTGATTTTCTGTTTGGGCCTATAATGTTTTGTTGTCGTCGTTGTTCTTGTTATGTACTGTCAAGTAGGACCCGACTCATAGCGTCCCCTCTTTCAGTTTCTGAGGCAGTATCACTATGGAAGTAGATTGCCCAATTTTACAGAAGACCCGTGTTCTCTTCATTTGTGTAGTGGTTAAGTCATTTGGCTGCTAACCAAAAGGTCAGTGGTTTGAACCCACGAGCCACTCTGCAGAAGATGAGGCAGTCTGCTTCTTTAAAGATTTACAGCCTTGGGCACCCAATGGAAATAGTTGTAAGTCAGAATCAACTCTATGGCAGTGAGTTTGGTTTTCTCGGGTCTCTTCACAGAGAAAGTTGACCCCAGACCAAGGAACCTTATGGTTTGTCTAGTCATTTCCAGATGAGGAAATGTAGAGGAAATGTAGGCCCCAAAAAACCAATTACTACTGTCTTATACTTTATCATAGAAAAGCTAGGGCTAGGCTAGTCAATATAGCAGCCACTAGTACGTGTGGCGGGAGCTCTGGTAGCATAGTGGCTAAGACACTTGCCTGCTAACCAGACGGCTGGCGGTTCAAACCCACCAGCCACTCCTCGGAAGGAAGGTTGGGCAAT